TTTTTTTTTTTTTTTGGGTCCGGTCGTGGGGCCTGAACTCTGGGCCTGGGCGCTGTCCCTCAGCTCTTCAGCTCAAGGCTAGCGCTCTACCACTTTAGCCACAGCACCATTTCCGGCTTTTTTTCTTTTTGCTTATATGGTGCTGAGGAATCGAACCCAGGGCCTCAGGCGTGCAAGGCAAGCGCTCTACCACTGAGCCACCTTCCCAGCCCGTGACCCATATCTCCATAACTCTTTCATCTTGTATATATGAAATTCTATACTAATTCAATGACTTTGAACTACCATACTCAGATCCCAGACTCCTGAATAGCTAGAATTACAGGTGTGAGCTACTGGTGACTGGCGACTGGCATATATATATAGTAAACTGTACTTGGATAGAGTGCACTGATGCTCATCTGCATGTTTAATGTCTTAAGATTAGTAAATAGTAGGAAAACAATAAACAGTAGAATAGTTGAATGAATAAATATCAGAATATTAAAAAATTATCTCTGTTAAAATGTTTATTGTATATTAAAATATTTAGATTATAAAACAGAAACAATAGAAGGAAACAAAATATTTTCTTAAATTTTAAAACTAAATTTGATACTTTTAACATGAGCAATAAAATAAAATAGCTATTTTTCATTTTGTATAAAAACTCAGTTTTTGGTTATTTTTGAATAGTATTTTGAATTTTATTTGACCATATGACCTTGACTATCTGAACAAATTGAATTTACAACCCAACTAAGTTAAATAAACTAAAATAGTAAAGTAGTTTGAGGGCATAATATGCAAATACTCCTTATTTTTACAACAAATATCAGCTTCAGGGTTTTAGGTGAAACATGACTTATGTTCATAAGAGCAGATTTATTATTTTACATTGTAACCTGAGAACTTTAAATATTAAAATATTTATTAAGAAAATAGAAAATTACATACTTGAAGATTAAGAAATTATTATGTAATATGACCATATAAGATGGTGCTATGCAAAATGAACCCCAAGATAGGGACACAAGAGGTTTTTTCTTTGTCCCTGTTGTTTTTAATGTACTATGTGATATACATTTTTTTTTTGTTTCTTTTGTGTGTTCTTCCCCCATGATATATCCCCTGTTGTCACTGTATTTGATTCTGGTGCCCTGCAGCTTTTATATGCATTTTTCTAATTTGGGGAGGTGAAGGGAAATAACAAAATGCTGAAACAAGGATATAGGTTGACCCATTATAACAATAAAACGTACAAGACACTCTGTTGAAGACGAAGTGGTGGGGGTGTGTGAGGGAGGAGTTGGGGATGTGAGATATGGATAGTAGGGAAAAAACAAAGGGGTAACAATGTTGGATAGGAAATGTACTCATTACCTTATTCAGGCAACTGTAACCTTTCTGTACAGTATCTTTACAATTAATAAAAAGAAAAAGAAACTATTATGTAATATATTATAAAAGGCCCGATTGATCAGAAATACAAGGACCAGAGTAAGTATATATAATACAGTGTTAGTATAGACTATTCTTATAAGTATTGGATAACAGGAATGTATGAAAGCTGATGTTACTTAGGAGATATGGAATAAAAAGAGATGAATCTTGATAAGGTAGTAAGTAGCAATAAATTTGAAATTTATATACTATGAACTTTAATTTTGCTACTTATTTAATACTTGGTACATAGCAGGTATACTTCTGAGAATAAAATTCTGTTCAATATTTCATAATGTCTTCTCAACTCTATCTCACTGTAATATCTCTATTGCTGTTTCCTAAGTTTTTGTGCCTATATGACTTTAAGGATATACGTTTTCATCCTATATTTTTCTCTAGGCATTCACAAGGACAAAGATAAACCTCCCAGCTTCTCAGTTGTCCTTGAGACTTTGAGGCGTACCTTGACAGATTACCAGAACAAGCTGGAAGATGCATCTAATGAGGTAACACTTGCACTGTTTGGCTCCACACATTCAGCCTTCGGGCGGTACCAGTATGCATCCCTTGCTTGTTTCAAAGGTCAAAAAGATTGTGAATGTTGAACTGACAGCTTCACAGATACAAAAAATAAGAAATTGTCTGTCACTGTTCTTTCTTTAAGTATGGCCTTACAGTAGTGTCTCACAGTAGTGTCTCACGTTTTTGTAACTCAACAGGCATACTATTATTTTTAAAGTTAAAGTGACTCTGATACTTCTTGATCTTCATATTTTATGTTTTATTTTAATAAAAGGTGGTATAAGTCACTAAATATATGCTGTATTTAAATGTTAATATACTTTATGATGTGAAATAGCTAGTGGAAATTTAGGTTTAGTCTGTCTTTTAGTTTAAGAATTGTACAAACCAAAGTCTTAATAAAAAAAGATAATTTAGTTTTCATTCTCTAAGGGGAGTAAAGTGTTGTTGGAACTTTTAAAAAACAAATATCTGTTTGATGTAGTCAAGAAGCTTTTTAGTTTGCTGATTGAGAAAGCTCATGCCTATATTTATCATCTCATTTGTATTGTTTAATGTGTGAGTTGATAATTTTCTTGGGTATTAAAATGTTTTATAATTCATGCTTTAAAAATTAAAGAGTTTGTCTAGTCACATTTTATCAAATTAGCATATGAAGTAATTACATTAAACACAATTAGTAGGCAAAACAAAAGTGTTTAGCTAAAGATAAGAAACAGCAGTTTTAGTGTTTATCTTTCTTTTTTATAAACTGAAGGCCATAAAATCATTATATTGGTTAAGGCTTATTTTAGTTAGCTAAGCTGAACATAGAAGGAAAAGTGGGTCTTCTTAAAAATAAGCTTTAAGTGTTCAAAAAGCAAAGAAGAAAGTGACCATTGAAATAATTAAATTTCTATGAAGACAAATATTGCTAAGTCTTTCCCAGTGAGACAAGATAACCTGTATTGTTAGTAGTTATGAAACTCTTCTGAGGCCTAGGCCTCGAAGCTGCAGGGTAACTAGGAACATATTACCCACAGCGAATTGTTATTTGGGAGGATGAATGTCACATGATCTTCAGCACAGTTGAAAAGTCGACTCAGCAGGCTTTGGCTTAGTAATGTGCTTTGTTGTGAACTAGTGCCAGAGACAGCAGTGAGGAGACCAAGGGGGTGGCTGCAAAGAAAGCAAAAAGAGCAGTCTGACAGAAAGAAGAATGAACTGTCAAAGAAAATAAATCACAAGTGGTGCAGGACCAACTGATGACCTGCCACAAGCTTTCCCAGCAGGACTGCATGTGACTGACCCCAAAGTTGTCATATGGAGTGAGATACCAGTGAATACCCTCATGATGTATAGAAAAACAATCTTCTGCTCTGTTCTTTTTTTCTTTCCTTTAGATGCCAATGCTTTTGGCATTTTAGTCCAGTAGGATTTTAAGAATAAAGTTACATTTGTTTACAGTTAAGAATAAAAGCCTTTCAGACATCTAGTAAAAATACAATAATAACATAGCTGACATTTTAAGGTTGAATGCTTTCTTTGCTTTTTAGCCATGTGAGCTTGTGACAGATTCTACACAGATTTAATCAAAAGAAGTATTGTTGATAGTATTTTTAACTGCTACTGAAATATTTGTGTATAGGTGGTAAAAAGCATTATGCGATTAATTGTTGAGTTGCCTATACTTGAAATATATAAAAAGTTACTTTTCTTTGTGTAGCTTAACCATATAAATGCTGCTAAGGAAAAGACATCTAATGAACTTGATTCTACCAAACAGAAGATTGAGTCTCACACTAAAAATATAAAGGTATTACAATTTAAAATAACTTCTGTATTAAGAAGTAAATATAGTTTTTGAGGAACTATTTTATAGGTACTTGAAGATATGTCTTAATAGTTTTAAAAAATGAAAGTATATTTGGATACACTTTTGTGTTGCTAATTAAAGTAACAATTTTATTTTCATTAAAAAAGTTTTAGGCTGGGATGTAGCTCAGTGGCAAAGCACCTGCCTAGCAAGTGCAACATCCTAGGTTTGATCCCCAGTACTAAAAAAGAAAAGACAAACAAAAAAAAATACAGTTAAAAAAAAGAAGCTTTGGCTACTGGAAAAATGTATTCTCTAACAAAATTATAATATCACAGATGCAAAAATGCTTTGAGATCTAATGTTCTTCTTTAGATATATATTAAACATATTTTATATGAACATATCTGTATTTGGAGTCAGTTTTTATTAGTTTACAGAAGAGCCATTGTTAATACCACAGCTAGCTAATGTCCAGGAAATTTTTTCTGTATGATTTTATATATTACATCTTTGGAATTTTTCATATTTTGTTCAGTATTGTTATAATTTCATTTTATTGGTGCATATTGAGTTTGTCATAAATATACTTGAATAGAACTTGTTAAGTTTAAGGAACAAAGTTGTTCAGCAGAGTTTTATGCCACGTATTTGAGATTTCTGTTACTATTTGAAGTACCATCAGAAGGTAAGTATTCTTATGTTAAATGTAAAGAGAATGACTTTAAAAATGTTATTGAAAGTTTCTAACCACCAAGTTACATGTTTATAATGAACTGAAAGATAAACTCCCTTTAGTGAACTTTTTTGGAATAAGACATCTTACTAATGCTTTATGTACAATTTAGAGCATATTTTCTCATTTTTAAGAAAAGCATTATATTTAGAACATTCAGTAAAGTACCTTAATGTTTAGCATTATATATGCAAATACTTGATTCTTCTGCATTCAAGCTTTGAAAATTTTCATTATATATTTTTGGCATTTTGGTCCAGTAGGATTTTAAGAATAAAGATATTGGAGTATCTCTCTATTTGGTGTCTCTGACAGGAACTTCAAGATAAACTGACTGATGTCCATAAAGAGCTAAGTCATTTACGTACTAAATGTGGAGACCGAGAAGCTTTAATAACCACTTTAAAATTGGAGCTACAAAATGTGCTGCACTGTTGGGAGAATGAAAAGTCACGAGCAGCCCAATGTGAAGGTGAACTGCAGAAACTTTCCCAGGCTTTCCACCAGGACACTGAGGTATTACCTGAGACAGATGGCTAAGAAAGACCTTTTACTCATCTCAGTTTTATGTATCAAATGGTTATTTTTACTTGTCTATGTGTTAATTATAAAAGTTCTGTGCTGAGTATTTTGAAATCTTCATGGCAGCTGCAAAATCAGTTATTCCATTATGCATAGGTCACCCTGGTTAGTGAGAAGAGTAACATGGCTTGGTTCTTCTATCAGTTAGACTATCAAATGCCTGCTATATTTCTAACAGTCCTTTCAAGGTTTTCTCTGTTTGACAGTGACAGAATTATTTCTTATTTCTATAATTTTGTTTGGTATGGTGGAGAGAAAAAAAAACAGACTTGGACTTGAATCCTGGTAATTTCTGTTTACAAACTGTCTGGCTATGGACAAACCACACAGCTTAGTCATTTTTACATCTCAGATTTTTTATTTGTAAAATAGGAATAAAAATCTGCTTTAATACATCTCTTTGGTTTCTAATTATAGAATATTAATAAAAATTTAGAAAAAAGTTTCAGAAAATTTTAACTTTGAATGTTCTGGAGAGTTATCAAGTTTTATTTACTAATAACTTTACAAAATACATCAATAACAAAAAGAGAGAATTTTAGTATTTTGAATGAGTCCATGTGAATGGCATTATTGCTTTATAGTTTCTTTTGCACATGGGACATAGAGCTAGTATAGCTGATAGAACTGTTTTATCTCAAGTTGTCCTGCATATTGAACTCATTACTGTAACAAATATGAACATGAATGCCAAGAGAGTAAAAAGGAAACATTCTTTCCACTCTTCTTACAGTCTGGGTTTTAAATTGTGTGCATATGAAAGGGTTGGAATTTTTCTACACATCAGATAATGATTAAAGTAAAGGAAACGAGAAGCCTGACTGTAATGTAAAGTCAGCATGTCTACAGCATTGTGGTTGGGTTCAACATGTGTGAATTGATTTTGGACTTGTGATGCCTCTTTCATGCCAAATGGATCATTATCGTGCTTGAGTTTTCACAGCCCACTCAAAAAGGACAAAATAGCAACACAATTAATTATTCTTGAGGATAAACTTCCTTGATGATGAACATGATCACATGGAAAAAATGATCACATGATCACATGGAGGAGCAAGATTGTAATGCCTGAATATTGTATTTTAGTAGTTATATTTAATAAGATTTTTGTATGTCTGAACCCAGTTAAAAATGCAAAACAATCTTTACCTGCACAGTACATATTTCTCAACTAAAGCTTGAAATTATGGCTGCATTTAAAAGTTTTGAGATTTGTATCTGAGCACTGATGTCTCATGCCTTTAATCCTTATCTATTTGTGAGGTTGAGAATGGGAGGATTGTGAATTGAAACTAGCCCAGGATAAAAAGATCTAGACATTCTGTTTACATGGAGGCAAACTGGATGCATTGGCATGGGCCTGTGATCCCAGGGAGAATAGGAGGCCTAAAAGTAGACAGATCAGGCACATGCCTGTTCAGGAAATGAAACTCTCCTAAAAAAATAACCAGTGACAAATGGTAAAGGATTGGAGGTGTGGCTAAGTAGTATGCCAGTCTAGCAAGTATGAGGTCTTGAGTTCAAACCACAATACTGCCAAAAATGTGTGTGTGTGTGTGTGATTAAATTTTTAGTTTTGGAAAAAAGTGAAGTAGCATATAAAGTGAATTATGTACATAATATATATATATAAATAAACAGGAAAACTACCCTTATAATGTCTAATTATCAACTTTTGCCTATGCTATATATTTTTTTAATGTAGAAGAATTTCTTTTTTTCTTCCTCATTTTTGTCCTTTGAAAAGTTTTTTACTCCTGATATGTTAAGATATCTTGAAAGAGTTTGTTTTATCCACAGAAAATATTCATTTTTGCAGCTTCACAATTGCTTTGTCCTTGAGTTCTGTGCTTTGGGACTGTAAATGAAATACCTTATAAAGGAAGTAATTTGATATTATATTAGGTAAGTCTTATGAGTTCAAGATAATGACTTCTAGGGAATAGGAGATCTTTTTAGGCCATTCAACAATATAGTTCTAAAGATATTTAAAAACATTTTCAATTGCATGTTTTTGAGAATATATCTTGAGTAGCTATTCAGTTTTGTTTAAAACCAGGTGCTTTGTAGTATTTAAACAGTTTCAGTTGCTTAGTTTGCCAAATACTATGTAAACTTGTTAGTGGGGAAAACAAATGAGCTTTTCTTTCCTATCTTTCATGCCACTGTCTGCTTTGCCTAAGGGACATGGGATAGCTTTCCTGTAGAAATCTCTGAAGTAGACAGAAAGCTAAGTAGTTGTGAACATATAAAATACAGATGTTGATATAACTTGTTCTTCATAAATGTTAGATAACACTCTTTTTAAAGATATATTTTATGAACCCAGGCGCCAGTGGCTCATACCTGTAATCCTAGCTACTCAGGTAGCTGAGATCTGAGGATTTCAGTTCAAAGCCAGTCTGGGCAGGAAACTCTGTGAGACTCTAATCTCCAATAAACCACTAGAAAATTGAAAGTGACACTGTGGCTTTGAGCTGAAGAGCTGAGGGACAGTGCCCAGGCCAAGAGTTCAAGTTCCATGACCAACCAAAAATATGTTAATCCATTTAATAAAATGTAAATATAACATTATAGAATTACCATATTCACTTCCAGTTCAAAGGTCTTAGAAACTTGTAGTTTATATACCTTGTGTTTAGAGCTAGGGAAGCGAAGACCCAAGCAGGAGCTTGCTCAGATCACATCCTTAGCAGCAGCAGTACTATGTCAGATTCCTGGTTTTCTGGCTTCTAATCAGGATTTGGTTTTGAATACTAAGTACAGACAATTCCCTGGATTATTTTTAATGATTGCTTTTGAGCATTGGAGAAGAAGGTCATCTAAATGTCAATACCTGAAAATTGATTATTTTGATTTCTGTTTGGTTTTTAATAATAAATTCTTCATGATATGTTTTGTATTTCAAAACAAAGCGTTTATCTTTTTTTTTTTCTTGCAGGAGAAGCTAACCTTCCTTCATACCTTATATCAGCACTTGGTAGCAGGCTGTGTGCTCATAAAACAACCAGAAGGCATACTGGATAAATTCTCTTGGTCTGAGCTTTGTGCAGTCTTGCAGGAGAATGTTGATGCTCTCATTGCAGACCTCAACAGGGCTAATGAGAAGGTAACTGTCCTCAGGCACCAGATACCTCTATTAAATTCAGTGACATTTGTCCACATCACAGTATCATTAAGAGGGGCTGACATTCATCTTATTTCAAAAAGAATTTGGGTGTTAATAATTCAGTACCATTAATTATAGCTTGTCTACAACTCAGTTTGATGCCATTGCTGTGGGCATGTAAATGTGACTGAAGTCTGTATGAAGTCTCTAAGCTCTACTTTCTGTGCAGGACATGCTAATACTACTAGCCAGTATTAGCCACAGGGACCTAATTAAAAGAAAATAAATTAATCTTACTGATGAAGCAATTCAAAGAACTTAGTCATTTACATTAATAAACCAACTCTTTATGTTAGTATAAAATAAAAACAAGATACAGTTATTCAAAACATTATATTAAAAAACCTTTGCTTAGGAAACAAGAAATGATATTTTAAAAATTACTTAGAAAAATTTAAATTATGTTTTGAACCTGTTTTTTCCCCAAATGCAAAAACTGTATATGAGAAAATGAAGCTAATTCATGCTAAAGAATGTGAGGTATGCATTTTGTAGAACAAAATATCAGTTTTTTATGGTTAATTTACCATTTACAAGCTTAGCAATTCAGTCTTTTCTAAAAAAGAAAAAATATTTAGATATAGAAAACAAAAATGGATTAGCAAATCAGCATAGGTCACTATTAAAGATGTTGTTTCTTGTCTTGATCTGTTGATCTGGTCAGAATTATGTTTGTGTGGTCTAGTTTCCAGATCTTAGTTACAATGACCTCAGCACTTAAGGGATAAGAAGAAAAAAATTATTTTGTAAGTTCTTTAAAATATACATAACAGTTTCTGTTGAAGGCTAAGTAAATGAAAAGGGTGAATATGGTTGAAGTAATTTATATATATGTATAAAAGTAAAACAATGAAATTATTTTAAGAAGTGGGGGACAAGTAGGAAAGAATGAAATTGATAAGGAGACATTATATGCCTGTATGGAAATGTAATAATGAAACACCTTTGCACAGTCAATATACTATTAAAGATGCTTTACTAATAAAATAACCTAATTTGAGGGTAAGATTTTATGTTGCTGAGCATTTTTCATTAGTCCTGTTGACAAACCCAACCATAGGCACTGAGAAGTAGGGCTGAGAAATGAAGGAATAAATTGTGAGAAGCACAGATGTTGTTTGTAATGGTCAAAGTGTGGATAATGGCTCTAAAATTACTGATAGTTAAAATGAGGATGTTCTAACCTTCTGAAATGATGATATGTTTTAAATAGTTTCTCATAGTTTTAAAATGTCACACATTTTGGAGGTTAAGGATTTTCTTTTTGTTGTTAAATAAAAACAATGGCAGGAATATTCTGCCTAATAAAGCATATATAAATATGTAAAGTATTTGTACATTTGTAAGTCTCATTTAAATATATCCTTTTCCATTAAGGTATCTGAATAGCTTGGGCTTTGTTTCCAGAAGTTAAGACTCTCTTAATTATCTTGGTAAAATTGATTATAGAATGAACCATTTTGTTAGAAACCAATCAAATTTGTTGTTTAAATATATAAATGGAACTTTCTGCTAAAATATGATAATATATCTTACTAATTCCTACTTCCTAATTTATGCTTTAATTTAAAATTTTATATGATTTAAAGGAATAACATATAGTAGGGAATTTTGGTTGTTTTTTGAAAGGAGGTGATGCAAACAAGTGATTTATTAGAAGCATCTTATTCTTCACTTCATTTCTCCTTATAGATAAACCACCTAGAATATATCTGCAAAAACAAGTCTGACACAATGAGAGAGCTTCAACAAACCCAGGAAGATACTTTTAACAAAGTGGCAGAACAGATCAAAGCCCAAGAGAGCTGCTGGCATAAACAAAAGAAGGAACTGGAACTGCAGTATTCTGAACTTCTCCTGGAAGTTCAGAAGAGGGCACAGGTATGCTGCTCGATAAAGAGCTTTAAAAAAATGGGCTCCTCAGCCTAACTCATACCCGAAGGTTTCTTTTTATTTTAATTTCAGATCAGTTTAACACTTTTTGAGACCATAACAACTTGTTGTTATGCAAACATCTGTGTGTGTGTGTGTGTGTGTGTGTGTGTGTGTGTGTGTATGTGTGTGTTAAGGATTTTTCTTTCACTGAAGTTTGGAAGATGAATTCTGGTTAAAACAGCCTGAGGTACAGTGGTCAATTAAATGCTAAATTGTATATCTTTTATTTATATTGAAAACAAAAAGTTAAGTGGTTTGGTAAAATATTTTCAGTGTTAGTCTAGGTATTAACTCCACTTATGGAGTTAATTTATGGAGGTTCTCATCTAACATTTGGCATTAAAATTTGTTATACCTATATTTTGAATATGAAATTTCCTCCAGAAGCTCAAGTATTGAATATTTGTATGTGATTGCCAACTCATGGCTTTGGGGAAGTGATTGGAATTCTGTGTGCTTTGCTGACCTAGTGATTGGATTAAACTCTTGATGGAATCATGACCGTATTATTGGAACATGGGTAAGAAAAAGTGGGACTTATTTGGAGGAGTAGGTCACCGGAGGTAGGCCTTAGAGAGAGAGATTTTTATTATATCCTGACTAGCTTCTCTTTACCTGTTTCCTGCCTACCATGAGCTGTTTTGCTCTACATGTCCTACTTCCCTCAGGCCAAGAATGATGGGACTAAGGAACCATGGAATAAATGCTTTGAAACAAAACCAAAGTCAGTCCTTCTTCCTTTAAGATGTTTTCTCAGGTATTTTATCAGTATGATGTCCAAAGGAATGAACATACCTTCTGACATTATAGGACAGTTCTATTACACACTAATTATGAAATGCATTATATCTTCTATGTTAGATTTGATTGGGTGGTTAACATAACCATATTTTTCTCATACAAATTATTGTCATCATTATTTATATTGTTAACTATTTTCCCTATCTTTCAGGAGCAATATAACATTTTTGTTTTGATAAACCTCAAATTTTCAATGTTTAATATTGATTTCTTTTTTTCTTTTTGGTGTAGTATGTGAGAATTCTCTGCCTAAATGTGTGATCATTAAAATTGAATTTTAGTTATTTTGTAGGTTTTATATATAGATCCATGATCAATTTTGAGTTAATTTTTGTAAAGATGTGAACTATGCATTGAGGTCTTTTTGCATATAGATATTAATTATTCTAGTTTTATTGGTTGAAAAGACATGTCCTTTCTATATTGAATTTTCTTTGTACTTTTGTACAAAATCAATTCACAGTGTTTGTATATGTGTGTCTATTTCTGAATGTATCTGTTTTTTTCAATACTCCACTGACTTCATTATTGTAGCTTTTTTAAGTCTTTAAATTAGATAATATGAATCATCCAAATTTTTCATTTTTCTATATGTTTGAATCCATTTTACTATAAATGTACAAGAGGGCATAGCAAATCAATTTTTGATGAGAGCCAGCCATCACAAATGCTGAAGTTTTAGGAGGAACTCTCACTGAAGATTTTCCTGAAAATAATTTATCCACACCCAGAATTTTCATCCATGTTTTTGCAAATTGAAAGTACCATTTTTAATTATTCCTAAAAGTATATTAATATTATATATTGGAATATAGTCTATATACAATGTGCATACTTTGATTTTTCATCAAATATAATTTAATACACTGCAATGACTCATTTTGGGTCTATATTTTGTTACTTATTTTATAATACATAATATAGGACAAATTTTATTTTAGAAAATTTTGTTATCATTAATTCTCCACATTTGCCTTCCCTAAAGGCTACAATGCAAATACAAATATTTTCACTTCACATTTCTTAATAGATTTTCAAAAATTGTCTTGATAAGAATGGAAGATATAAAGTTATTACATAGGATTGTGGAGGATGTTTGGTGTCAGATGGGCAGAACCTTTAGTAGAGGCCATCTGTTAATAAATTAATGGTTAGTAAAGGGAGCTCAACTAGTAAGAACAATTTTGACATTTGAATTGCATTTTTATTCTTTGCTGGTTCTGGGGCTTAAACTCAGGGCCTGTGGATTCTCTCTCTCTCTCTTTGTCTCTCTTCTTTCCTCTCCTCTCTTCTCCCTCCATTTCTCTCCCTCCCTCCCTCCCTCCCTTCCTTCCTTCCTATCTCCCTTTTATTCTCTGTCTCTTTCCTTTCTCCCTTTTATTCTCTCTCTCTCTCTCTCTGCCTCTCTCCCTCCCTTCCTTCCTTTCTTTCTTTTTCTCTCTCTCTTTTCTTTCTTTCTTTTCTTTCCTTCTTTTTTTGTTTTTTGGGTCCAGTCATGGGGCCTGAACTCTGGGCCTAGGCGCTGTCCCTCAGCTCTTCAGCTAAAAGCTAACGCTCTACCACTTGAGCCACAGCGCCACTTCCAGCTTTTTTCTTTTTGCTTATGTGGTGCTGAGGAACCGAACCCAGGGCCTCATGCATGCAAGGCAAGCGCTCTACCACTGAGCCACCTTCCCAGCCCCTTTCTTTCTTTCTTTCGTTCATTCTTTCGTTCTTTCTTCTTGCTTGTTTGCTTTCTCTCTTTCCCTCCCCCTCTCTCCTTTCCTTCCTTCCTTCCTCTTTCTCTCCCTTTCTCTCTCTCTCTCTCTCTGTCTTTCTCTCTCTGTCTCTCTGTCTCTTTCCTCTCTCTTTTTCTCTTTCTCTCTCCATTTCCCTATTTCTCTTTTTTTATTTTCCTTCCTTCCTTTTCTCTCTCTCTCTCTTTCTTTCTTTCTTTCTTTTCTCTCTCTGTCTTTTTCTTTCCTCTCTCTTTCTCTCCCTTTCCCTCTATTTCCCTCTCTTTCTCTCTCTCCCTTTCTCTCCTTCCTTCCTTCCTTCCTTCCTCTTTTTTTCTGTCTCTCTGCCTTTCTCTTTTCTTTCTTTTTCTCTTTTTCTTTCTCACTCTCTCCCCTTCCTTCCTTCCTTCCTTCCTTCCTTCCTTCCTTCCTTCCTTCCTTCCTTCCTTCCTCTTTCTTTCTCTGTCTCTCTGCCTTTCTCTTTTCTTTCTTTCTCTTTTTCTTTTTCTCTTTTTCTCATTCTCTCCCCTTCCTTCCTTCTTTCCTTCCTTCCTTCCTTCCTCTTTCTTTCTTTCTCTGTCTCTCTGCCTTTCTCTTTTCTTTCTTTCTCTTTTTCTTTCTCACTCTCTCCCCTTCCTTCCTTCCTTCCTTCCTTCCTTCCTTCCTTCCTTCCTTCCTCCATCCCCCCTCCCCTCCCCCTCTTTCTTTTTCTCTTTCTCTCTGCTTCTTTCTGTTTCTCTTTTTCTTTCTTCTCTCTTTCTCTTTCCTTCCTTCCTCCTTCCTCCCTTTCGTTTCTAGGCTAGCACTCTACAAATTGAGCTACAGATTCATGTCTGGCTTTTTAGTGGCTAATTGGAGATAAGAGTCTTGGAATTTCCTGGGCTGGCTTTTTGGACCATGATCCTAAGATGTCAGCCTTCTGAGTAGCTAGGATAATAGCATGAGCCACTGAAGTCTGGCTTTTGAATTGCTTTTATCTGAAAATAGAGTTATTTATAAAACCTTTCAATTTATATGTGTATATGTATGTATCGTGTATTATGTATGTATTGTGTGTGATACTGGATTTAAAACTCAGGGCCTCATGCTTGCTAGGCAAGTGCTCTACAAGTTGAATCATACCTGTATATACAGGTTTTAAAATAGCTTAAATGCTATTAAATATATAAAACTTACTGAGATGATAGTTTGATTTTGGTATTATAGCATATTTTAACTTCAGTTGTAGTAAACTGGCCATGTGATAGAGTAATTCTTGATATTAAATAATTGGAGACATTTTGTAATTGTATGTCATGTGTTCATTTTCCTGAAGTACTACATTATATTCCATTTTTATTTATTTATTTATATATATTCCATTTTAAACTCTGTTTTTGTCATCTTAATACTTATATACTTGTTTCTACTGAAAAAGGTTGAATTAGTGAATGTTGTTTTTAGAAATAAAGATTTTTCACCATTTGTTAAATAGGGGTAACATTTTTTGTAATATTTATTATGAATACTTTAGCTTATGAGTTCAGAGTGGAGACAAAACTGAAAGAGAGGCTAATTATAAAATATTGAATTTTATTTTTCTGTTATGGTTTTAAGAGTGGATTTGGTTAAATATTGAGCATTTTTTTTATAAGTGAAATTCCAAAATATATTTACAGATAAAGTAGAGCTTGTTGATACCGTTGGAGGATAGAGTTCCTTAAGATATACATGCTGTCATGAAATGATTCAGAGTTTGATACACTTGTTAATATTCAAAGATTTTTTTTTCTTTTTTTCTGGTCATGGGCCATAAATTCTAGGCTTGAGCACTGTTCCTGAGCTCCTTTTGCTCAAGGTTAGTGCTCTACTACTTTGAATCATAGCTCTACTTCCAGCTTTTTCAGTGACTAATTGAAGATAAGAGTCTCATGGAGTTTCCTGCCCTAGTTGGCTTTGAACCATGATCCTCAGATCTCAGCCTCCTGAGTATTTAGGATTATAGGCTTGAGCCATCAGAGCCTGGCTTCGTACACCAAGTTTTTTTTAATTAAAAAAATTTTATTGTCAAGGTGATGTAGATGGGTTACAGTTACATAAGTAAGGTGTGATTACTTTTCTTGTTTAATTTGTTTGTACACCAAGTTTTAATGGACTGAGTTGTGAGAGGGTACTTCTAATGAAACTTTGGAAAAGTGTTTTTGTTTTCCCCATAAATACTTTATAATTAAATTTGGTTGTTAATAATGCTATGTTTTTATGGGGATTGAGTGTGTATATATGGCATATATGGCATATATATACAGTGTATACACACACACATATATAGGTATAATATGTATATAGTGTATATATGTACATATATACACATATATAAATATATATATATATATATATATATACCCACCAGATAAAATAGCTAAGATCATATGGTAATTATATGTTTAAATT